TTAAATTTCAGTGGAAAAAATTGTGAAAAATTCTCTTGAAAATAGCATCAGAAACAAAAAATTCTGTTCTGTTATGAAAATTTGAAGGAAAAATAAACATATCTGCGATTCTGTAAAATAGAATGTATTGTCACTCTTCAAGAATTTAATTTCCATCTAAAACAAAAAAATTTCTCGTTGATTCTTTGAATTGATTTATTCGACGACATCCACGTGACCCACGTGACTTTCTAGAACCTTCATGTTTGGTTACCAGAAATCTGGAAAGCGTCACGTTGTGTTAAACAAACCGTTAAAACCGCTTTGTCTCAATCGGAAACCATTAATTACAATAGACCGGGTTTGAGATGACTTATGTCATAATAAGGGATTGTTTATTTTGAATTATAAATCTAATTGGAAGCCAAGCGCACAATTAACATAACTCACGAATGTATTCTAATTCTCAAAGTAGTTTCTGGAATCGTTGTTTGTATTATTCTATTTGTATGTTACTGATGGTAACCCTTAAATTTATTCATTTAAATTTAATTTTTTTTAAAAGTCAAACACTGAAAACACTTATTTTCAAGCACAGCTGATCAGACCGATAATGAAGAGGAATCAGTAGGGCTCGGAAAAGATAAACCAGGACTCTTTTTAAATAAGGAAAATTTACCCTTTTTTTATTCCACTAGTCATGATTATTGGAGATATTTCCGGAGCCTATTTACGTTAATTACAGTCACCCAGGCACCATAGGATTTTTTTTTAACTCACCAAAAATAAGAAAAAAATATGGGTAATAGATATAAAATATAGGGGCCTGGTAGCAGAAATCCACCAGGATGGCACCTGGAGCTGCAGATCATTTTTCATCTATAACTGCTAAAAAAAACTGCCAGCATGACGGTGTTTGATATAGTGTTTCTGAAGGGATAGTAGAGCAATTTGTCTGCGCAAGAACTCTACAGTGATGATGCAGAAATTAGAATACTCTACAAAGGTATTCGCACAAATTCTTGTAGAGAAACAGAAATATTACGGAATACTCTGCGGTACTCTTTCGCGGAATGATATGCAGCTGTGCGGTGTAATTGTTTTCTATCTTCAGAATTTCTCTTGTCACAGAATTGTCCGCTGCTATTAAAAGAAGAAAGGCAAAAAAAAGTCTGAATATCTGGAATGGTGTATTTATTCTGGTTGTATTTATCGAATTATCAGTTTGAGTTTGATTTAATCTGTATAAAATACCACTGTTAAGTTACTTAGATTCTTTAGATATGGATTTATTCCATATTTTCCTTTGTAAGTGTAATTTAATATTTCAAATCCAATTTGAACAACATACATTTATTGTGTTTAATTTTCATCGACCTTAAATTTGGGAGTTCAAAATTTGCTATGCATATGTAGGGCCGCAGACAAATTTTGATTTACAAGTCCTGGTGGCTCAGGGGAATAGAGCATTCACCTTCCAATGAGGATAACCGGGTTCGAATATCAGCGATGTTTAGACGATACGAATTCCTCACCTTTCCATAATGGTGACGTAAAATATCCTCAGTGGTAGACGGATCTAGGGTTAGAGTTCCCTTGCTGTCAGGCTGACCATGGGAGGTTTTCCTCTCCATTTAACGCAAATAAGAACTGGTTCCATCAAAACGCAGTCCACGAAAGCAAATTTCTCCCGGTACTTGATTCAGGAATTCCCTTGTCTTCTAATTTGGGTTCAAAATAAGATTCAATATTTAACTGGGATTCAGTTCAGTACATTTTGGACTCAAGGACATTTTTCTTTAGTGAGTCATAAGAGATTTTATGAATATTAAATTATAAAACCGATTTTTTTTAGGCTACTAAAAACTAGAATCAAAGATCAAAAACAGTAAGCAGCTTAAAAATTCATATTCAAATTTCACACTTTGTAACAATATTATATTAAAAATATCGAAATAAAAAAAAACAAATGAAAAATAACTTGTATTAACGATGAAATTGGCAGACATAAAAGCATGCAAAGGGAGATGATTAAAATGCCTGATTCGAAAATCGTTAAAGCACTGAATTAAAATTAATTTAAAAGCCTGTGGAAAAGCGTAGCAATTACTGATGAATAAACAATAAGAAAAATTTTAAAAAAAGAAAAAAAAAGATTTGCGATTAAAGTGTTGCAAATAAAGCGCCCATTGGAAATGCACCAGTCGAATGTGGCATTAGTAAATATTAAAAATATCGGGATTATCAAAAGCATGTAGAAATGAGCATTTCTGAAAAAACTATGAAAAAATAACTTGGATTTAGGATAAAATTGACACAAATAAAGCACTTCAAAAGTGTGTCAGCAGGATGGACTCTGCCCACGCATATTTGTATAACCCCTGACTATGTGGATGAGAGACATGGGAAGTATCGTTTTCCTATCGTGTGTAAGGGAAAGATTTAAAAAAGAAAACAGAAGGAGGATTATTTATACTAATTGTATATATATATATATTATTTAAAATAAAATTCCAGAACCTGAAATAAATATATGATATATGTCGTCATCATTGAATGTAGCCAAAAACGAACCTGCTAAAAAGAAAACTTTTCACCATTTTCCCGAGTCGAAATCCGCAAGTCGCTACATCGTACTAAATTAATTAAAATAATGATCGTACTAAAAAGATCGTGATTTTAAGAAACACGTGGTAATCCGACGATATAAGCTTCTTCCAAAGCACGATCGAAAAAAGTCACCTGAATGAACTATGAAATAATGGATACATATAAGGTGCTACGAAAGTAATTACTAAAATTCGAAATTCAGATCGAAAAACTACATTGATTTAGATTTGGCTCTTCTAAAACTTAAATGGGCCATTTTATTTTATTTTATAACCCTCGTTTAACAGTCGACCCAATTTTGGGTTTACGTCTACTAATGTTCAACTCAACAGCCTTGTAAATGAGTTTTTAGCACCCTTGACATTTTAGAAGCCCGCGGTATCTTTGTTCACACATTAATGCTCAGGAATAAACCGTGGCACATACATAAATAATTCTTATTTTATTTTATTTTATAACCGTCGTTGAAGAGCTGACCCAATTTTGGGTTTACGACTATTACTGTTCAACTCCGTAGCCTTGTAATTTTGAACCAATCTAGAAGATGAGGAAACTCCTGGATCAGTACCCCCAGAAGTGTGATTTGTTATGGGAACATGGAGGACTTTGTGACTCGACAGATTTAAGGTGCACCAGTCACCATTTACTGCACGGTCTTCGGCCTGCGGAATGGAACTCACGACCCCTTGAACATAGGCCCAGTGTCCAATCAACCAGGCTTTGTTTTGACTCTTTTTATAATTTCAATAACAGATGGCGCCAGTGGTACTGTTAATCAAGAAATATTTTGTTTTTATTATTTTCTTTCCTTTTTTTAGTTTCAGTTTAGATTTATTCATTATGTTGGTAGATGAGTAATATTTATGTTTGGCAATATGGCCATTGAAATTTCAATTACTCATTTATAATTCAATGAAAAATATTTCAGTGTTATCTATAAATCATGCTCTGATAATCAATCAAAGAAATAAAGTATATATCCGGTAAGATTTTGAAAACTTATTTGTTGTGCTAAGTTGTCATAATTTTCATTTTCCCACATTGTATTAGTTTCTATAATTTTAATGATATTCTACTTAACTTTTATGATTTTTCCATTATATAAGTTTATGATTTATTTAAGATTCATTCCATTTTTTGGTCCTTCGAGACCGGAGTGAAAAATCCGAGCTATTGTTTATAATTTAGTTTCGATTTCAATTAAGAGAGCTAGATAAAAGTATTTTATATTGCTCTAGTTAACATTGTTTTTTTTTAATCTTATTTTCGGTCCGTCAATAAATCTTTGATCTTAAATCTTGTATTTTGTAATTATAATGGAAACTTTAAAGAAAAGACGTAGCATTTTGAAAGGTAAAGTAACGCGTATAAACAATATTCTGAAACCGAAATTTGTGTCTGGGGAAATAGAAAGAGCGGAATTAGATGTTTTTTCGGCTCAAATAAATGAAATATGGGTGGAGCTTAATGAGATTCATACGGAAATTATCGTTTCTTGCAAGAATGAGGAAGAGGCAAGCAATATGAAAGAATTTGATGATTTGGCATCTAATATTGATACGTTGCGAATTAATATTGCAGGGGAAATGTCGGAATTGAAATCAAAAGTAAACAATACTAATAATGGCGGCGTTTCTCTAGATGATTCGAAACCGAAACTAAATGAATCTTGTTTAAAGTTGCCCAAATTCGAGTTACCGAGTTTTTATGGAAATTTCAATAATTGGATGTCATTTAAAGAATTGTTTTTGAGTTCCATAGATAGAAATCCAGAATTAACAGAACTTCAAAAATTTCAATATTTGTTTGCTAGTTTAAAGGGTACTGTACACAAGCTTATTTCAGGATTTTCGCTCACAGATGAAAATTATAAGCACGCTTGGCAGACTCTAGTTGCGAGATATGATAATAAACGTGAATTAGCGTTCGCGCAAATTTCAAAACTATTTAATCTAAAGACAATTAAGTCTAATTCTGCGGTTTCGATATTTGAAATTTTAGATACATGTAATGAAGTTATTCGAATTCTTTCAACTTTAAAGTTAGAAGTTAATCCTATGGTAGATGTTATTTTAAGATTTTTTATTTTGGGAAAACTAGATGATACACTAAGGCAAAGATGGGAATTATCTTTAACTAATCAAGATATTCCAACATTTTTAGAATTGGCTCAATTTCTTGAGCAACAAGCAAAAATTATTTCAAATCAAGCAGAATGCAAGCCAAGGGTTCTTCCTAAAAAGGCTTTTGTAAATAATGTGGTTGTAAACAAAACCGAAAATTTATGCAATATTTGTAATGAAAATCATTCGATTGTTAATTGTCCCATGTATAATAAGATGTCTGTTGATGACAGGTGAAAGGTAATTAAATCTAAAAGGCTGTGTATAAATTGTTTAAGAAAATTTCATATGGCAAATAAATGCCGTTTTACTAACACCTGTAAGGCATGTCATAGAAAACATCATACTTCATTGCATAGATTTTATTCTAATTCTGAAGAACCTAATGTAAGCAATACAGTTTGCTATTCTAATTCAAATTTAGATAATGCCAATTCTGAAAATGTTCCTACAGTGAGGGAAAACATTCAACTTAGCACAACTTGTCTAAATTCTAATAGTGTAGATAGTAATACTTTATTATCAACAGCTTTAATAAAGGTAAAAAATACTAAGGGACATTTCGTTAATTGCCGAGCGCTGATTGACAACGGCAGTCAGAAATCTCTAGTGAGCAAAAACTGTGTTAAAAGACTGCAATTATCAAAGACTGTTACAAATCATTCGATTTCAGGAATTAATAATACGCTAGTAAATCTTCTTTATCTGAAGTATCTTTGGTCTTTTCTCCACATTTTAATGAGAAAATTTTTTGCTGTAAAGCCTTGATTGTAGACTGCATAACAAGTGATTTACCGAATTTCACATTTTCTTCATGCAACTGGCCACACCTGCATGGTCTATTGCTTGCAGATCCAACATTTCATGCAACTGGTCCAATAGACATTCTGTTAGGAGCCGACTTATACGCTGACTTGCTAATTGGAGAACCAATTTTAGGGAAGAAGGGTACTGCAGCTGCACTCAATTCTCATCTAGGCTGGCTATTATCGGGAAGAGTGTTCTCAAACTCCAATAAGGAAAAATCCTTTGTGAACTGTCATCTTACCTCATCGTTGGATTGTCAATTGGCTAAATTCTGGGAGCTCGAATCTTTACCTCAAGCTGAACTGAAATCAAAGAATGATTTAGATTGTGAAGCATTTTACGAAAAAACGGTTGCTAGAGATCCATCTGGACGTTATATTGTGAGAATACCTTTCAAACATTCTATAGAATTTGGTGACTCACCTACTCAAGCAAGTAAAAGATTCAACTACATTGAAAGAAAACTAAGTAAGAATAATGAACTTGAGCATCAGTACACAACTTTCATGTCGGAATATCTTCAACTAGGTCATATGGAAAGGGTTCTTTCCGACGAACTGATTAAGGAATCAACATTTTATCTACCTCATCATTTCGTTATTAAAGAAGACAGCAACACAACCAAACTAAGAGTGGTCTTCGATGCGTCAGCTAAGGATTCTTCTGGTAATTCTCTCAACAATGCGTTGCATGCAGGTCCTCGTTTGCAGCCCGAATTATTTTCTCTATTACTAAAATTTAGAACTTTCAAAGTTGCATTTACTGCTGACATCGAGAAAATGTTTCGCCAAATTCGTATTCATGAAGAGGATGCTGATTACCAACGAATACTCTGGAGGTTCAAACCTGATGAAGAAATCCAGATATACAGATTATTAACTGTCACCTATGGGACAGCCTGTGCTCCCTATCTTGCTGTAAAAACACTTCAACAACTCGCTAAGGACGAAGAGAAAGCTTTTCCTGATGCTTCANTTTCATCGACCTTAAATTTGGGAGTTCAAAATTTGCTATGCATATGTAGGGCCGCAGACAAATTTTGATTTACAAGTCCTGGTGGCTCAGGGGAATAGAGCATTCACCTTCCAATGAGGATAACCGGGTTCGAATATCAGCGATGTTTAGACGATACGAATTCCTCACCTTTCCATAATGGTGACGTAAAATATCCTCAGTGGTAGACGGATCTAGGGTTAGAGTTCCCTTGCTGTCCGGCTGACCCTGGGAGGTTTTCCTCTCCATTTAACGCAAACAAGAACTGGTTCCATCAAAACGCCCTCCTCGAAAGCAAATTTCTCCCGGTACTTGATTCAGGAATTCCCTTGTCTTCTAATTTGGGTTCAAAATAAGATTCAATATTTAACTGGGATTCAGTTCAGTACATTTTGGACTCAAGGACATTTTTCTTTAGTGAGTCATAAGAGATTTTATGAATATTAAATTATAAAACCGATTTTTTTTAGGCTACTAAAAACTAGAATCAAAGATCAAAAACAGTAAGCAGCTTAAAAATTCATATTCAAATTTCACACTTTGTAACAATATTATATTAAAAATATCGAAATAAAAAAAAACAAATGAAAAATAACTTGTATTAACGATGAAATTGGCAGACATAAAAGCATGCAAAGGGAGATGATTAAAATGCCTGATTCGAAAATCGTTAAAGCACTGAATTAAAATTAATTTAAAAGCCTGTGGAAAAGCGTAGCAATTACTGATGAATAAACAATAAGAAAAATTTTAAAAAAAGGAAAAAAAAAGATTTGCGATTAAATTGTTGCAAATAAAGCGCCCATTGGAAATGCACCAGTCGAATGTGGCATTAATAAATATTAAAAATATCGGGATTATCAAAAGCATGTAGAAATGAGCATTTCTGAAAAAACTATGAAAAAATAACTTGGATTTAGGATAAAATTGACACAAATAAAGCACTTCAAAAGTGTGTCAGCAGGATGGACTCTGCCCACGCATATTTGTATAACCCCTGACTATGTGGATGAGAGACATGGGAAGTATCGTTTTCCTATCGTGTGTAAGGGAAAGATTTAAAAAAGAAAACAGAAGGAGGATTATTTATACTAATTGTATATATATATATATTATTTAAAATAAAATTCCAGAACCTGAAATAAATATATGATATATGTCGTCATCATTGAATGTAGCCAAAAACGAACCTGCTAAAAAGAAAACTTTTCACCATTTTCCCGAGTCGAAATCCGCAAGTCGCTATATCGTACTAAATTAATTGAAATAATGATCGTACTAAAAAGATCGTGATTTTAAGAAACACGTGGTAATCCGACGATATAAGCTTCGATCGAAAAAAGTCACCTGAATGAACTATGAAATAATGGATACACATAAGGAGCTACGAAAGTAATTACTAAAATTCGAAATTCACGCGTCAAAAATTTTGTCGTATGAAAAATATTGAGATTCATAAAACTATGGAAATGTGCAATGATAACCATCGAAGAAGGCGATTGATTTAGATTTGGCTCTTCTAAAACTTAAGTGGGCCATTTTATTTTATTTTATAACCGTCGTGTAACAGTCGACCCAATTTTGAGTTAACGACTACTATTGTTCAACTCCGCAGCCTTGTAAATGAGTTTTTAGCACCCTTGACATTCTTAGAAGCCCGAGGCATCTTTGTTCACACGTTACTGTTCAGGAATAAAACGTGGCATGAATATTTCCTATTTTATTCTTTATTTTATAACTGTCGTTGAAGAGCTGACCCAATTTTGGGTATACGACTATTACTGCCTTGTAATTTTGAACCAATCCAGAAGATAAGGAAACTCCTGGATCAGTACCCCCAGAAGTGTGATTTGTCATGGGAACATGGAGGACTTTGGGACTCGACAGATTTAAGGTGCACCAGTCACCATTTACTACACGGGGAGTCTTCGGCCTGCGGAATGGAACTCACGACCCCTTGAACATAGGCCCAGTGCCCAACCAACCAGGCTTACTAGCCCTTAGGGAATATGCCTACCCAGGGGGTCACCCTCCCAAGTAGTGACCACGCCCGATGGTGCTTGACTTCGGTGATTCAACGATTTTTTTTAAAATTATTATTATTATGTTCAGGAGCTACTGCGGGAAGCACATCAAGAACTGGCGAGCTGCAGGTTACGCACCCGTATTACAGTGTACTATTTTTGGGATTGCGCTCCCTCAAACTTCGAGCTCTCCCCGCGCAGAGGTGTTGCGGGAGTGTTATTTAAAGCCACTGTATTTAACTCGGATAGAATGTTAATGATAACTACCTAGCAAATTTTAACACGTTGTAGCGCAAATAAATAAACAAAAAATAAAATTTAAAAAAAAAAGATAGTTTAATGGTGTTGCTTACAGCTGTAGCAGCAGCCAACGAGGTTCTATTTATTCACGATATTTAATGCGATGTACTATTTTGTGTTTTAATGTGTTTCTTCTTGTATTTCCCAATGGTTCTTTTATGTGTTACTTTATGGGTTTTAGGTGTTTTACACGTGTTCTTTGCTTTATCTGAAGCATTGCTATATTTTCGGTGACATGAATTATTAGTACGACAGCTGAGCTAACTTATTTCGTTTAGAAACTCATGCAAATTTTAGTCAGATAGAATTCCTGTTCACATTGATATTGTTTTATAGTTTTCCGTTTGAGGCTACAAACAAAAACCAAACCGGGGAATTGAAAACATTGTCGAAAGGGGGGGGGACGAAGAAGCAAAATTATAATTATGCTTTTTATTTTCTTTCTTTAATTTTTTCATAGACAAACTGCTCGTGGAATTTTACTCTATTGAGCAGTATCAATCGATACATGCAACGTCATCACCCAATCAGAATTTGAAATATAAAGGGCATTTTAGATTCTCGTTTAATTTTTTCTGACATAATTTTATCAAAACAGATCTGAATCCAGCAGTTTTTGAAAGGTAGTAAAATAGTAATCAGATGTCTGTTTTTAGATTTTTGATATACATTCTTTTTTTTTTTCTCTTTACATTATAATAATTTTTAGCATCATCCGAATCGATTTTCATCAGTTTAAATTATAATAATCTAAATTTAAAAATTCGAATTTTCAATTTAATTTTCTAATTTTCAAATTTGGATACATATATTGTGACAACATCTATAAAGGGACTACACAAAATTTCAGAATTATAGACGAATCTATATTGCAATCAGGACTAATGGTCTAATTGTAATAATGGCCGTAATTTTTTTTAAATAATTTTATTGACTGTAGTGCTGCCATCTATGTAAGCTCTTGTGTAATATAATGACATAGTTTGCTGCCTAAGTTTAACCTTTTTTTTTTTAATCAATTTTTTTTATTTCTAAAGAAAATTCTCTTAATTCCTTTTATTACTGACTTTATAATATATATATTTATTTGCTTTAAGAGAGGTGGAATTAATACTTTTAAAAATACTTTTTTCCCCTCAGAAATGTGAATTATCATTATATAATAGCTTGTATTTCCCCAAATTTAAACTTATAATTCTGTAATTCGACCGCATATATTTCCACAAAACCTAAGTATACCACACCAGTTTTAAAAATTTACAGCGTATAAGGTGGTGAATAAGATAAGGGCTTATAATGCAATAAACCCTCTTAATTTATTTTTTATTTGATTATGGTGTCGCCATCTATGGAAGCATTAGGATAACTTAGTAATTTTTCGTATGCAGTCATAATTTAAATTGTTTTCTTAATTTTTTTTTTTAATTTTAAAGAAAAATTTATTTTTATTTTATCATTTTTATTCTAATTTATATGTATATTTCATTGCCCAGCAAAATAATGATTAAGATTTCTAGAAAAAAAATGTTTTATCCCTCAGTTAGTTTGTATTTTCCCCAAATATTTTATTATAATTCTGAAATGTGGAAAGAAACATAAGATTTAACAAGGTCGAAATAAACCCCACCAAACTTGAAAATTATAAACATTTTAAGAAGTGTGCAAAGAGCTAAAATTAAAACTGAAGCTGAAAGATGTATGTAACTTCATTTCCTTAAAAAGAAAAAAAAAAAAATCTCTCTTTAAATTTTCTAAGGACTGCACGAAATATGCCGAAGCCGTTAATGAGGACAGTGCTTTAAGTAAAATGTGGAAAACGCCAGACTCCGCACTTTCATTTGCACAATATTGTGGAAATATAGAACATACCGACATAAGGCAGAAACCCATTTAGTGTCATTTGCAGAGATGACGGGTGGTCAAAATTTGGATTTTCCAATCGAACGATTCCTCTATTTACGTTGCAAAATCTTTACAAATATTTTTTTTTTGGATATTAAAAGGTTCACGTGTAACAGGTTTACCTGTGTCACCTGTTTTTGTTTCCCTCAATCTCTAAAGAAAACGTAAGGAGGTATCCTCATTAGGCAATTACAGGCAGTTTTAGACTACGGCAAAACTTTGCCGTAGTCTAAAACTGCCTTTATAGAGATATTTTTAACTTTCAATGAAACCAGATGTAGATGTATTGGGGATAATGAGAATGAACTGAAATTTTACCGGGTTCAGGCATCCAATGAAAATTGACTTTTACTCGGCCGGTTCAGGGCATCTTGCAAAAATTCTATGGGTTGTCCTAGACTGTTTCTGATACCCGGCTGAGTAATATAACACAAATATAAAACGATATTAAAATTGTATAATTTTCTGTCGAATACATATTTTACAAGATAGGTGGTACTTCCTTTGCTGTCAGACTAACCGTATGGTTTTTTCGTGGTTTTCTTCTCCATGTAACTCAAATGCGGGTTAGTTCCATTAAAAAAAAGTTATCCACGAAAGAAAATTTTTCCCAATATTTGATCCCGGATTTCTCTTTTATATTTGATTAGGTTCAAAATGACAAGACTACGGAGTTGAATATTAGTAGTAGTAAACCTAAAAATTGGATCGGCTGTTTAACGACGGTTATTAAAAAAAGAGATTGACTCATAAAAATGATACAAGCAAATAATTGGTTATTGTGCAACACCAGTAATTAATAATTATTAGGATGTGATGATTAA